ATGGGTTAATTTAAGATAAAAGAACAGTTAGCAAGAAGCCTGCCACGGCCATACAGTTTATAAGTGATATAAGCGTCTGAGTGATTATTTTATAAGTGGATTGTGGGACTGCGGGGCTTGGGGAACCTGGAGAGAAGCCCTCCAGCTACAGCTCTTAGTGAATTAACTTGCCTAATCAAGCAATTACCAGCAAATAATAGCATAAAACAGAGACAACTGTGCATGACAAACCTCTTGATGGAAATACTTAGGAAGGAAAAAGAGAGGAAAGCTCATCCTGAATCTGATCTACCTTACAAGAAAAACAGGACAGAGGGCTGTATTAAGATACTACCTGGAAAGCTCCAAACTGAAATCTCCCCATCTTCTGGCTCTGGTTCTTCTACCTCCAGCTTGATAATGAGATCTGGTTTAGTAACCTGCTGTTCTGAAGATGATAAATGATAGATACCTCCTTGGTCTTCGGAGCCTGAAACAGAAGTTGCAGTTTGTGATCAGCACAGGAGATCTATCACTTGACACAAACAATTTAACCAGTATTTTGTGTTTCCTTTAATGAAAGAAAAATATGAAATCAATCAAGCCAAGGCCCTCCCCACACTGGATACAATAACCATTAAAAATTATTTGAGGAAGCCATCTTACCCACAGAAACAAGGTTGCTGTAGGTCTCAAGCATCACATCTCTGTATAGGGTCCTCTGTGGAGGGTTCAGGTATTGCCATTCCTCCTGGGTAAAATCCACAGCTACATCCTCAAATGTCACTAGTTCCTGTAACAGAAAGCTTCTTTTATTCTAAAATGCTGACCACTGAGTGATAAGGATATATGAGGAAACTTCTAATTGTGCTCCCAGTTCATCAAGATGTCTTCTTCACAACATACTAATAGCCTACTTTGAAGGAGAATCACAAATCATGACAGAAAACAATTGCATTAAGTGATAAAATATTTAAAATGATATGATATTATCATAAGGATAGGTATCTAGGAGAAAAACAGAATCTAAGTATGTATAGGGGCTACAGAGATGGCTCAGTGTTTAAGAGTGCTTGCTGCTCTTCCAGAAGACTGAAGTTTGGCTCTTAGCACATACATTAAGTGGCTCACAACAGCCTATAACTCTAGCTGTGCCTTCTTGTGGCCTCCATGGGTACCTTCATATACATGGCACACACAGACATACTCATGTCTTATATTTTAAGTATAACAGTGAAAATGCAAGCCATATTCAGGTAAGTGAAAATTTAAGCCACAATGAGACATCACTATGTGTCTGCCAGAAAAGTTAAAATTATGGCAACTAATATACTATAATACGTGTGTGTTGGTTAGGTTTTGCCAACTAGACACAAACTAGAGTCACCTAGGGAAAGGAACCTCAATTGAATAATTACATCCATCAGATTTGACCTACAGGCATATCTGTGGTCCATTTTCTTAATTTTTAATTGATGCGGGAGGGCCCAGTCCACTGTGGCAGCAACATCCTTAGGCAGGTGGGCCTGGGTGTATGAGAAAAGTAGCTGAGCAAGGCAGGAATAGCAAGCTTCATATGAGGAGAATTCTTCCATAGTCTCTGCTTCAGTTCCTCCCTCCACTTTCCTGAAAATTATCCCAACAAGTGATTCCAAAATAACTGCAGCATAAAAAATACACCTCAAAATGCATCGACTTAAATGTAGTATCTAAACCTATAGTATTTGTAGGGGAAAAGTATGGGATAAAGTCCCTTAAATCCTGATGAAGCAAGTAACACAAAAATTTCTGATACTCACTCTTAAAGATAATGAAAAGACAAGTCACAGAATAGAAGTAAATATTACAGATCAGATATCTGATAACATAAAAAGTACTATTAGACTATTGGAGAGTATAAAACTCAAATAAGAACTATCTGAAAATATAAAAACAACTATTAAAACAAAAAAAGGGGGGCTGGAGAGATGGCTTAGAGGTTAAGCGCACTGACTGCTCTTCCAGAGGTTCTGAGTTCAATTCCCAGCAACCACATTGTGGCTCACAACCATCTGTAATGAATTCTGGTGCCCTCTTCTGGCCTGTAGACATACATGCAGGCAGAACATTGTATACATAATAAATAAATACATACATACATACATACATACATAAATAAATCTTTAAAAAAATGGGGGGATATATCACCAAACAAGACATATAAATGGCAAACAAATACATAAAAAATGTCATCAGGGAACTGCAAATTAAAACCACAATGAATGAGATACCACCACACATCTGTGAGAACAGGAGACCTCACAATAAAGTAGTGTAGACATGGAGCAGCTGGATCTCTGTTGTCACAGACATGAAGGCAGAAAGAGCACAGGCCTTTGGAAACAGTTTTCCAAGTGTTTGTGAAGTTAGGAATATACTATTGAACAACCCAGTAATAATGTTCCTAGGTGTATTTATCCCAGGGAAATGAAAGTCACACAGCCTCCAAAAGCTTACAAATGAACATTTTTTTTATTCACCCCAACATGAAATAACTTAAGCACTTTTTGTCAGCAAATGAACAAACTTGAATCCACATAATGTCATACTATTCAATAATAAAAATGAAGGAATTAATGACATAGATGATAATACCTATAGTAAATGTACTGTGCTAAATGAAAGAAGCCAAGCTCAAGCAGCGATCTGTTGTATGGTTCCACTTATGTAACTAATGGGAAAGTTAAAAACTGCAGAGACAGAAAATATACCAGGAGTTAGAGGACCAGGTGCAATAGGGGTTGACTACAAAGGGAGTAACAGAACTCTTGCCTCCACTGTGGTAGTGGTTTACAGCTATGGGTTAATATAACTATACACTAAAAGGATCCATTTTCCTGTAGGTAAATTATATCTTAGCTTCTTACAATTAAAAATAAGGAGCTTTCAAGTAGTCTAGAATAAATACATTTGTATAAATCCAAATCTTTCCACATAGGGGCTTGGGATGCAGCTCTTTAGCAGAGCACCTGTCTAGTATGTACAAAGGTTGAATCTTCAGCATTTGGAAAAAACCCAACTACCAAAAATCCCTCAAATCTCTCCATAAACTTCCTAGTAAACTTTACTGCTCAACACAGCACATAGGATGACTCATAACCAATACTTTCACATGTATAATACAAATTAGAGAGGACTACAGAATGCTCTAATCACCTACAAACCCAAAACTAACAAACAAACAAACAAAAACCAAACATCTACCCCAGTTGTCTTTCAAACTCTTGCCATGAAGTGTTCAGAAATACAAGAGGGGTCTGAAAAGCCAGAGCAGAAGGGGTAAAGTGATCATGTTTAGAAAGATGCCCAGTGCCTTGCCATCTATGTGCATGAAAGTACATAAAGACTAATCTGCTATATCAAAGAACTGCTAGCTGTAGGAAAAATATGCAGAACCAAAGGTGACAATGAAAAGCATTACTTCTGAAGGTAAAATATGTAAACAAAGGAATGAAGAAGCATTTGAAGATTTGGTAGTGGCAGAAAAAAACAAGGGGGAAATTAAGGTCATGCATGCTATGACCTCATTATTCAAATAAAAAATATACCCCACAATGCTTTGAACTTTTGTTCCTTAGCTGGTGGCACTGTTTTAGGAGGTTGTGGAGCCTTTAGGAAATGGTATTTGTGGAAGGTTATTAGAAGGTAGGGCTCTGAAGGTTAATATCTGCTTCCAGTTCTGGTGCTGGCCTGTGTTCTCCATCCCCTGCTCTGGCTGCCTCTAGCACACACCCATATCGCAAATAAACTTCACTGTGGACTTTGACACTCTGAAACTATGACCCAGAACAAAGCCTTATATATTAAGCTGCTTTTGCCAGGTATTTTGTCACAGCAACAAGAAAAATAATGAATGCAATGTGAGAGGAAGACTGGGATAAAACAAAACAAAGTTAGTATATACAAAATCCCTGTCAGTAGTACCCAAAGCAAAAGTCATTCACTGAAGCTACTGCACTGGACTACTCTGCCAGATTTTGAACTAAACATCATGGAGACCACTTGAATCCTAGGATCTCCTTACAAATCAACAAAAACAGTGGATATCCACTCAAAACTTTCTTAAGAACAATGGAAAATAAGACAACATTTTGTGACCGGGCTAGGGATATAGCTCAGTAGTAGAAACCCAAGTTCAATCACCAGCACTGAACCTCTCTAAAAACATTCCAGGTGACAAATAATTCACCCCACAATGATGACATCAAAACAAAAAAGTAGGTAATTCTAAGATCGCATTCTCACAGAAACAAACAAACAAAAAACAAACAAGAGGACAGTTAAAGGCTCAGCAGGTAAAGGCCCTTACAACCAAGACTAACAATATGAGTTCCACCCCAGGACCCACTCATATGGTGGAAGAAGAGGGATGACTCCCATAAGTTGTCCTCTTACCTCCATGCCTGGGTAGGGGGTGGTTCTCTCCCTCTCTCTCTCTCTCTCTCTCTCTCTCTCTCTCTCTCTCTCTCTCAATAAATAAATAAATAAATAAATAAATAAATAAATAAATAAATAAATAAATAAATAAATAAATGCATTAAATTTTTAAAAATAAGAAGAGACCAAACCAAATATAACCCTGGCAAAAGTGACAGGTTTGCAGCAACCACACAAAGATGGAACAAAGAAAAAAGCAACACAAAGGCTGTGGGAAAGCTTTACAGCATAGTTTGCTTACCTTTGTCCTTGTTCTACCCCTATTGATGACTACTAGTAGTAGTAGCCTGTGCTTACCAAGTCCCAGGTGTTAGAGGAAGCAGAGAAGACATTATTAATAAATGTGTCCATTCCTAACCTATTTAGGGGTGCCAGGTGGTTGTCTCTGTTTTGCCTAACTTTGATTCAGAGTAGAAAAGTAGTGGGCAATACTCTAAAAGACTACAGGGTAGGGTAGGGAGATGGTTAAGTGGGTAAGGTGCTTGAATTTCTAGAACCCAAGTGAAAAAGTAGTGTGTGTCAGCAGGTAAGATTCCCGAGGCTAGGCCGCTCTACCACCCCTGCCACGCATTGGACCCTGTAACCTACAAATCCCACTCACCCCCACCAACCATCCCCTGTGGCATCAGCAACCCTTGGAGGCACAGATATACCTGCACTGATTTGAGGAAGAATCAACACCTGTACCTATAGTTACCCCAATTCAGATGGGTAGACAACAGTGTAAGAATACATTCAACAACATAAAGAACCTGGCACGACTAGAACCTGGTGGTTCTACAACAGCAAGACCTGAACATCCCAATGCAGATGAAGCAAAAGAAAACAACCTTAAAAATAACTTTATGAAGATGATAAAGGCCCTTAGAGAGGAAATGAAAAATTCCCTTAGAGAAATGGAGGAAAAGACAAAAATTGGAAGAAATCAATAAATCCCTTAAAGAAAGGCAAGAACCCAAGAAAAAATAATCAAACAGGTAAAGGAAACAGTTTAAGACTTGAAAATTGAAATAGAGGCAATAAAGAAAACACAAACTGAGGGATATCTGGAAAATGAAAGTCTGGGTAAAAGAACAGGAACTACAGATGCAAGCATAACCAACAGGATATAAGAGATGGAAGAGAGAATTACAGGCACTGAAGAGACAATAGAGGAAATAGATTCATAAGTCAAAGAAAATGTTAAATCCAACAAATTCTTAACACAAAACATCCAGAAAAACTGGGACAACATTAAAAGACCAAACCTAAGACCAATAGGGATAGAAGGAGAAGAATTCCAGCTCAAAGGCAAAGAAAATACATTCAACAAAATCA